TATACATACACAGAGAGAGAGAGAGAGATTAATGCACCAGACTGCAAAGCCATTTGAACTGTAAGGTTGGCAGTTCAAGCTCACCAGCTGTTCCTTGGAAACTCTATACAGGGTCGCTATGGGTTGGAACTAACTTGATGGCACTTAACAACATACACATAAATATCAATAACTTTAATTTGTAAATCAATGTGGAAAATGATACAGTGGTAAGCGTTTAAGTTTGAAAATTAAAAAAATAAAACAAAACCACTTCACTTGTAATCCTAGCTTACAAATGATGTCTATTCTGGTTAGCTTTTTGGAAAATTTCTTCTAGTTTTTGTTTTTTTTTCTCAAACATTTCTTTAATTTTAAATCATGCTTTATCTACATAATACAACATCACTTATTTTTTTAACGTACACGGTCTATATATACCTACAACTTTAAAGGTTGTACAATATTCTATCCAGCAAACATTTAAAAGATAATTTAACTATCCCTTACAGTCTCAGAAACCACAGTGGGTTTGGTTTTGGTGTTTTGGGTCATTACTGAAAATTTATTTTCCCATCAAATTGAAGGTCCTATGTGGAGCTATGGTTTAATGCACTGGGTTGCAAAGTCAGTTTGAACTGTGAGTCAGTGGTTTAAGCTCACCAGCCACTCCTAGGGAACCCTATATAGGTCACTATGGGTTGGAACCAACTTGACAGTACTTAACAATAACAAATTTGTATATGATGATCTACATATACCAGCACAGTCTAATAAAAATCATAAAGACACATATATAATTTTAAATCTTCTAGTAGTCACATTTTTAAAAAAAAAGGGGGTGAACTTAATTTTAATATCTTCTTTAACCCAATGTAACTAAAATATTATTTCAACATGTAATACAAACATCATTAATAATTTATATACTTTTTCTGTATATCTTCTATTCACAGCACCTTTCATTTCAGATTTTTCACATTTATCATTTATTTCTAGCAAATATTAGCTACATGTGGCTCGTGGTTGTTTTGGATAGCACATCCCTATAATACATATTTTATGAGAAGGCAGAAATTCTATTAAAATGTTTTTCAAGATTGTTATCAGCAGAATACATAAAATTTTATACTACTAATAAATATTCATAATATAATGCTAAATTTTTATACATATTGAGCACAGACAGTATGTTTCTACTAAGTTTGTAACCATGTAAACAGAGAGCATTATGTGTAAGCTCAAAATGATGTTTTGCTTTTTCCTTTAAAAATACCATTAAAAAAAAGTCATTATTATGCCTTTTCAATGAAAAGTCATCTGATTGGTTAACATCAAAACTCCAATTTGAGAACTGGTGTTGTAAAGCAATTCCAGCCTCTCACACACATTGAGCTTTTTAGAGATCTGAAGTAGTAAGAGAACTTAAGTAACTCCTACCTAGGAGTCCTGGTGTGGTGCTATAGGATAAGCACTGGACCACAAGGTCAGTTTGAACCATAAGGTGGAGGTTCAAACCCACCAGCCAGTGCTTGGAAACCCTATAGTGTTGCTGTGAGTCAGAACCTACTCTACAGCACGTAACCACCACCACCAAGGCTGGGAACTTGCAGCTTCCTCTACTAAATGCCCCCAGGGATACAAAATAGAGTCAAATAACCTACTCTGTCCTGAGACAGAATCCTAAGGCTTCTGACTCCTCAACACTTCCTTGAGGACCAGAGTGGCAGAGCCTCCCACACTTTAGAGGAAGTCCCTGTTGACCTTTAGGAAACTGTATGAATAGGTGGTTCCTGAAAGGCTACCATTCTAAATGACTCAAAGGGTGCCCCTAGGAGTTATGAAATGTAGTAGTCCCAAAGCAACACTGTATCCCAACCTAAGACAGTCATTTGGCAAGGCTCAGCTAAGCAAATGGTTCTGACAACCTTGGAGAGCTGTTTGAGCGGACTGGGAAGATGTTTTCAAGACATCTTGGGAAACTTGGGCCCACTACAGAAGCGAGCGGATTAATGGGCACTGTGACTCTTCTCATTTTTGCTTACTTAATTCCCTTCCCTTTTCCCTCCATGAATAAATACCCTTTCTCCCATCTCTGTCGACCAAACTCATGAAATGGTTTAATAACTGTCACCCCACTATTAAACCCTGTGAAATTCAGGAGATGTTTTTCTACATGTTTCCTACATTTTCTGACTCAGTTGAGAAGCTTTCGTAATCTGTAGGGATAAACTCCAAGCTGAGCATTTTTTGGGGGAAATGTGGCTGCCATTGTCTTTATCCTAGACAAAATAGCAATCTTCATAAATATTTAATCCCACCTGGGCCGGAGACTGGATTTTCATGGCTGTTACCCTTTTCCTGTATTTTCAACGCACAGCTCAAATTCTACTTTGCTTCATTATTGTTTATTGGTCTTTAATATCATCTAGATGTTCCTTCATTAATTTACTTTTTTCTGAAAACCAACGATCTTTAATTTCCTTGAAGCTGTCTGAAGAATGCAATTCTCAAATTCTTTATGGCTCAAAATGATCATTGTTCTCACTTTCAAGCCAGAGAGTGAAAGTATCATCAACTTTATAGAATTTTTAAAGCTGTAATAAAGAGGTAATTCCTGACCTGTGGGTATTATTGGTGTCTTACAGAACAGCATTCTTTTCTAGCTGGATCAAATTCTTCATGATCTAATGACCCCTGTGATTTTTCTAGAAGTTGAAGGGTACTATATCCACATTATCCAACCACCACTGCCAGTTTCATGGCATCCTTATAAAATTTGATCAAATCCTGTGTTGCAGCCAGAAACCACTGTAGGACCACTGAGACTGAATTTTGCATTTGTGAGCCTCTTGTTCAACAGTAGAGTAAAATTCCAGCATTATCCTTTTTCAGCATTTAAGTATTGAAAAAGTCTCTATGTTCGTTCCCTACAATACATTTAAAAATTGTATGATCCAGTTAGCCTGGTACATAAAAAAAAGTTGACTCAGTCTAGATTCTTCTGATACATAAAATATGAACATCTTTTTTACTTTAAAGAAAGCCATAAGCCAAAAATTCAGCATTTGCAGAGCATTTTTTTTTTCAAATTTCTACAAAGAAAAGGTTTTTTATTATTTCAAAGAGCAACTGAAATCAGAGGCTTCAGTCCAATAAAATCCAAGAGAGGGATGTAGCTATAGTTATGCTTTAATGTCTCCCATATCAAGCAATGACATATAATGTGACCTTCAAAATGACCATCTGGTTCTCGTTCTGAGTTACCTTATCTTAACCATTTTCAATTATTTCTATTTCTAGCTTCACATTTATCTTCATTTTCTGTATTAAATGCTTCAGATGTATTCTGAGGGCAGAAACAAAAGAATAAACTAAACTGTTGGTTCTAATGATAAATTATTGATGCAGGTGGTTAGCAAGCATCAACTCAGTTGTTATTTTGCCATTCTAGATGTAGAAGAGAGAGGTAAAGGAGAAAAATTGATGAGAAATTAGGTCAGTGATTTATTTTCTTTACTGTGTGTCAAAATATATACCGCAAAACATACACCAGTTCAACAATTTTTACATGTATAATTCAGTTGTATTTATAATATTCTTCAGGTTATATGATCATTCTCACTTATCCTTTTTCAAATTATTTCACGACTATTAACATAAACTCACTGCCTCCTACGTGTCTCATCTAACCTTGAGTCCCTGTTGTCAATGAGATTACATATGCTGTTGTTATGTGCTGTCAAGTTAGTTCCTGCTCATAGCAGTCCTACCTAGGGTTTCCGAGGCTTTAAATCTTCATGGGAGCAGAAAGCCTCATCCTTCTCCTGTGGAGTGGCTGGTGGGCTCGCACTGAGGACCTTGTGGTTTGAAGTCCAGTGTTATTGTTGTTGAGTGTTAAGTCTCATGTTGTTGTTGTTATGTGCTGTGGAGTCAGTTCCTACTCCTAGCAACCCTGCACAGGGTTTCCGAGGCTGTAAATCTTTATGGAAGCAGAAAGCCTCATCTTTCTCTCGTGGAAGAGATGGTAGTTTTGAACTGCTGACCTTGAGATTAGCACCCAGATTCATAACCACTACGCTACCAGAGCTCCTTACTAAGTCTCATGTTGTTGTTAAGTACTGTGGAGTTGGTTCCAACTCCTAGTGGCCCTGCACAGGGTTTCCGAGGCTATGAATTGTTACAGGAGCAGAACGCCTCATCTTTCTCCCATGGAACAGCTGGTAGTTTCGAACTGCCAACCTTGAGGTTAGCAGCCTGATTTGTGACCCTGTAAATCCTTTGAGGCTGAGGCGCAGAAAGCCTCATCTTTCTCCGGCTTGATAGCATACAGATAATACTTTAAAACAGCATGATGCAACACTCTTTTCTAATTAAGCTAAACTGTGGAGTCCTGGTGTGAAGCTGTAGGCTAGGCACTGGACCACAGGGTTGGTTTGGACCACAAGGTAAGCCACTCCTAGGAAACCCTATGTATGTTTACTATGAGGGCATCTAATATCCACAACAACAAGGGCTTTGTTTAAAGATGACTTCAGGAAACAGTTTTGGTTTAAAGCTTAAAGGTTACTTCAGGACAATAGCTGGGGTGG